AGCAGTATATTGAAGTGTTGGAATAAGACCTTAGTTGATAAGAGGCTTTCTACCGGTATTCGGGTGTTGCGTGCAGCTGCTGTGAATAGAAGTTATCGTTTCGAGTGTTTGAGTTAGGTGGTACATCACATGATTGCACCTGAGGTTGCAGGTATGGGTTATTTCAGCCGGTTCGGGCTTATTATGAATAAAGATGTGAGGTTATGATCTTGTGTATGATTTCGGAAAGTGGAATGTGGTTTTATGATTTATAGGCTGGACTGGATAGTGTAATTATAGTTAAAATGTGTTGTCCGACCTATGTGAGATAGGGTGACGTGGGAACACCCCCGGGTATATGCTTGGTAAGGTTATTCAGCGGTTGGTTGGCTTTTAGAACAGCTCTGGGAACGTTCGAGGACGAACGTGTGTTTAAGTGGGGGAGGATGTAACGACCCAATCGGCCGTTTTGAGCTTTTCCACTTTGATCGCCAGTTCTCGGACATGACTTGTCCCGTGTTATGTATTATGACTAATGTAGATCGTTGGTTTTAGTTTCAGGAAAATTTGGAATGAATTGGAAAGAACAGTTTCAGTAGAAAGCCTGGAATTTGAAAGGTTTGACCAAGAGTCGACTTATTTTTATATGATCTCGGATCAGAGTTTTTATGATGTGGTTAGCTTCATTGGATGATTTGTGACTTAGGAGTGTGATCGGAAGTGATTTTGGAGGTCCGGTGTAGAATTAGGCTTGAATTGGCGAAGTTAGTATTTTGGCGAAATCCGGTTGATAGGTGAGATTTTGATCCGAGGGTCGGAATGGAATTCCGAGAGTTGCTGTAGTTTCGTTACGTGATTTTGGATGTGTGTGCAAAATTTCAGGTCATTCGGAGGTGTTTTGGTCGGGTTATTGATCAAATGCGTAATTCGGAAGTTTTAGAAGAACTTAGGCTTGAATCCAATGCAATTTGATAGTTTTGGTGTTGTTTGTTGGGTTTTGATGATTGGAGCGAGTTTGAATGATGTTTTAGGATGGGTTGGCACTTTTGGTTGAGGTCCCGGGGGCCTCAGAGTGATTTTGGATGGCCATCGGGATGAATTTTGGACTTATGAGATTGCCGGTGTATCTGGTTTCTGGTATTTCTGCATCTGCGGAAAAGGAACCGCAGATGCGGTTGCGCAGGTGCGGAAGGAAGGTTCGCAGGTGCGGTTATTTGGCTTGGACGGATGAGTCCGTAGATGCGGTAGAAGAGTCGCAGAAGCGAAAGGTGTGGCCATGGTATTTTCCGCAGAAGCGGACAACGATACGCAGAAGCGGTGTCCGCAAATGCGGATAGCTGACTGCAGAAGCGGTCGTGGGCTTAGTGAAGATCCGCAGAAGCGGAGGTAGAACCGCAGAAGCGGTAGTCGCAAATGCGGTAGGGCAACCGCAGATACGAAAATGACTGTTCAGAGAAGGGGTTTTAAAGCTCATTTTGTTCCGCGAGCTAAGCGTTATTTCCACCAATTTTTGATCGACTTTGAGAGCTTTTGGACGAAATTGAAGGGGATTTCGACTAGGTGTGATTGGAGGTGAGTTCTATGACCTAAATTCATGATTTAATGGTAGATTCAGCGTAGAAATTCATGAAAATTCATCAAAAAGGGGAAAAAGCTAGGGCTTGGAATTTGGTATTTTAAAATGGGATTTGATGGGTCATTTGGGCTCGGACTTGGGAGTTTTTGGTATGTATAGACTCGTGGGGAGATGAGGAGCTAGTGGTGCAAAAATTTCTGAGTTTCGAGAAGTGGGCCCGGGGCTCGGGTTTTGCTAATTTCGAGATTCTTGATATTTTTCGATTGATTTCGATTGGGTATTGTTTCCTTAGCATATTGTGATGTATTCATTGTGGTTTTGATCAGATTCGACGCGCGAGGAGGCCGATTTGAGAGGCAAGGGCATAGCGAGCTAGAGTTTGACCGGCGCGAGGTAAGTAATGATTGTAAATATTGTCCCGAGGGTTTGAAACCCCGGATTACACATCGTTGTGTTACTTTGAGGTGACTTACACGCTAGATGACGAGCGTGGGGTAGGGCACCGCTGGGGATTGTGACCTAGTCCATCCCGAACGATTATTTTAATGCGCACTTGATAGTTAATTGTTTGATACTATTATATCTTGGGCTGTATACCATGTTTGGGGCCTTGTGCCAACTTGTTGAGACCCTTAGGGGCATTTGTACTATCTTTTCTCATTCTACTTGTTTGAAAGCATATACTCAGTCATGTTTTACCTGTTTATTACTCAAATCTGGCTTTATCGCTATATTCTTAAACATGTGGAAACTGTTTTGGGCTGAGCTCCCTATTTTACTGATGGTCCGAGTGTTCGTGAGATGATTACTGAGATAGACCGAGGATCTGATTGTGAGATTGATGATTGAGATAGACTGAGAGTCTGATGGTGAGGTTAATGACTGAGAGAGGCCGAGGGCCTAGTTGTGAGGATTATATATCTATGGATCGGGATGCACGCCGCAGCAATGTGTGTGTGTATGTGTGTATGTGTATGTATGTATGTATATGGATCGGGCTGCACGCCGCAACGATACTTATATGGATCGGGCTGCACGCCGCAGCAATAAGGCCGTAAGGGGCCCCTCCCGGAGTCTGTACACCCCCAGTAAGCACCGTCGACGAAATATATGGATCGGGCTGCACGCCGCAACGATATATGGATCGGGCTGCACGCCGCAGCAATATATGGATCAGGCTACACGCCACAGCGGTTACTATATGGTACGTATTGAGCGTGAATGCTGAGTACGAGTTCTGAATTGTAAGAGTTGAGTCACGAGTGACAAAGAGGCTAGCCCGAGGGGCGATAATTATATACATGCATATGAGTGATGTTTGCCTGAGAGGCCTGTTTATGAACTTATTGATTTCACTCCCCTTTAAAGTGAGTTTCTATCGAATATGTTGATTTATCGACTGTTTTCACTCATCTTTATATTGAGCCTCTGTCGGAAAGTTGAACAAATGTTTTAAAACAACCTTTATTTAAACTGGGGTTTATGAGATGTTCAGAAATTAATCACTGATTTGGCATTTGGTTATTTCCACCGAGATTTTCAAGTTATAAAGTGTTTATGATTACTGTTTTGCCCGAGGGGCTGTTTTACGAACTATGCTTTGCCCGAGGGGCCGATTATGGCTTTAATCGCTATTATTCTTTTAAATGGTATTGAACCCCTACTGAAACTGCTGGCAGGCATTTCAAAAAGATTTTTACTAAAAGTTGGATTTTAAAAGGGAAGGTTGACTCGTATTATGATTTGAAAGCCTGTTGTGTTTATTGAGCCTAACGTGAATGTGGATTCATTGTTTCCTACTGCTCAGTCTTTATTTACTCTTATTACTTACTGGGTTGGAGTACTCACTTTACTCCCTGCACCTCGCGTGCAAATGCAGGTATTTGTTTCCCCGGTAGCGGGTTTTGAGCTGATCGGAGGCTTAGTTATCGGAGTTTAGCGAGGTGACTGCCAGCGTTCGCAGCACCGCATTTCTTCCTTTTGTTTATCAGTCCTATTTTGTATATTTCACACTTCGTAGTTGTATTCATACTTTAATAGATGCTCGTGACTTGTGACACCCCGGTTCGGGCTGTATCGGGATGGTTCTACTATTATTATCTATGTTTCCGCGAATTTATTGTTATTAAATCATGCTTCATGATTGCTTAATGGTAAATAACTGCTTAAAAGAGGTGTTCTGTATTGGTCTGGCTGGCCTTGTCTTCACGAGAGGCGCCATCACGACCGGGTTCGAAAATTGGGTCGTGACAATATTCTTCAAGAAGAAAAAAGAAACAACTTTTTTTTAATATTGACTGATTTTGTGATGTTTCTTTCTCCAGTATGTATGTTTACTTTATTATATATGTAAGTAAACTTTTATTTGGTTTTGTAAACTCTTTTTGTTATTTAGATAAACATAGACGTGTAGCCTATATATTACATTTATTTTANGCATGAGCGCTCAGTATCAGATGTGCTTTGACGGCTTGAGATCCCCTGATCGAGGGGCGAGATGTGCTCTCTGTGAGTTGATGTTGGGCCAGTCTGGAGGACTTGAGGCCGGATCTTTGCCTATGGCCTGAGCACCGAGGGGCTGGTTGTGTGAGCAGGTGTTTTGAACTTATATGTTCAGTATTGTCCTTATTAGC